CCCCAAAACCCCAAAACCCCAAAACCCCGCATGGGAAATAGGTGGTTGAGCATAATTAATATTTTGAACAGATGGATTTGGTCGGTAAGCAGAGACTGGTAGAGATTAGTAAGTCTCATCTTAAGAGTTATGTGATAGAAGTGGCCTGTGGATAGAGGGATTAGGAAGATAAAGAAGAAAATTGAGGAATCTGATGGATTTGCTTGTTTGTTTTGGGGGATGTTTACATGGGAGGTATGGTTGATTGGATTAGTTGTTAGGGAGAAGATCTTCAGGTGATAATTGGGTTTATTTTGTGTATAGAGTCAAGGAATAAGAGCACGAAGTTCTCTAAAAGTTTATTAGTGGAAAAATTCGAACGTACTCCTTTTAAAGCTCGTTTCTCATTAATCAAGCCAAAGTCTCGAGTATTTAGCAATATGAAGGGAGTTGATCAGGGCTTTCAGGAGCTTCTACAGCATGATCACATATCTGCTCTTCGTGAGCTAGATCTATCTCTTCATTACTGTGAAGACCAATCAATAGTTGTAACTCTTCCAAGTAAGAACAGGATTTTTGATATCAAAAACAGGTTGAAGTGAATAAGTAAGACTGTTCGGGACTGAATAAAACGCTCTCACAAAGATTTTTAGATATAGAAATAGATTTTCTAAATAATTTTTGAGCTGCTCAAGCATTTAAGAGCTTCAGTTTAGAGAGCTGAAATACCAACATTGGATAAAATAGAAATAGTAACAGACAAATTCAAATTTCAGTTACATTTACAATTTTATAGACAAATTTTATACCTCATTTGCTAAAACGTAACTATCAAATTAATTATTTCACTCATGTTCATACATGATTCCTTCCTCCCATTGTTATGGAAGTATCAAACTTAATCTATAAGGGAATATGTCACTTTGTGTTGCTATATTTTCATTTTCATACAATAGAGCCGTACCTCATACTTCATGTCTAAAATCTTTGCCAAATCGCTAGACTCTTTCTGGATATTCATCCATTGTTATCACATTGTTGACGAACTTTCCAAATACATAGAATCAATAGAATAATGGATGCTCAAATTCTTGGTCAGATTTATCAGAACTCGACTAATATGACCATATCCTAAAAATCCAGAAATTTCTAACGTTTTAAGAATCTGTCAAAGAACTTTACCAACTAAAGTTTACCGAATGATTTAAAAATAGACTTAATATAATTAATACCTAACACATAAGTAATTAATTATTAATTCTGCCAAATTCTGTCTTAAAATTTCTTATCAAGCAAAATATAGATAGTATTTGGAAGAATTAATAATTAATCACACATGTATTAGATATTATTAATACTAAGTCGAACATTTTAGCACTCTATAAACCAATTGGAATATTCATAGTGATTCTTGCTTGATTTCAGACTTATTATCACTAAGAAAACCTGGATTTGAACTTCTGTTAAATTAACCGAAGAATTAATTTGTGCTTCCTTCGTTCTGTTGAGAGTAATTGAGGTTTTTATGGAATTAATTCATCGCTTTTTATCTAACAAAGCTTTGTGTAAACTTGTTGAACATAAGTTAAAGTGTTGACTTATATTAAAAACACTCTTTTGGATATGGGCATGAGTATGTATCTGGAAGGAGTATGCCCAAGCACTAATGGAACCCTCTATATGGAGCAAAGCCATTATGGGCAATTTAGGGTAGGGACTAAGTCAAGTAAGCGAGACAAGTATCGTGCAAATTCTTTAGTAACAGCCTGAAGCAATTTCATTTATCTTAGAAGCTAGGGAGTACAATTAAAACAGTGGTAAATTCTGGATGGAAGAGGAGGGATGGTACGATGAAAGGATTCAACCTTCTCCTTTAAATCTATCAGCTAAGCCCCCTAGTACATTAAACGGAATATGCGCTATCTTTATCCCATTAAAGTGCTTATATAATCAATTATTCTCCTTAGAACGATATTAAAAGGTTATCTGACCGGTAGTTATAGAAATTAAACAGAATAATAATAGAAGTGTTTCTCCCTCCAATAAACCGCCAAGGATAAATTTCCACTCCCACTCAAATTTTAAGTTTCAGAATATCAGAAGCTGAATTCCAGAGGCTGATTCTTTGACAAATGAGGATACCGAGCCAGAAAGCCTAAAGCTTCCAGATCTTTCCCAGGATTTCAAATCTGTGCACAAAAGTAAGAATGGTAACACATAAATTTGATCAGAATTTTCTGCCTTATGCTATGAATCTGACAAAAATGTTGATTCAAATTCAGTTGTTGATTCAAACTCAAACTTGATATTTTAGCAAGACTGAGCAATGATTCCAATCCATTTTACATCACTAATGATCTTTATTAATAATTCCTAACTCTTATGCTAATGTATAGAACTGAAGAGTCTCAATTCGGACCTCATTAATGTTAAGAAAATAGGTGGTTACAAGACAAGGAATAGAAGGGGAAAGTTTAACCTGAGCAGGGGCATTAATAAAACCCTTACTCCAGAGAAGATAAAACCTAAAGCAAAGGTGAAATCTAAACCTTTTTATCACCGAATCATTTTTTAAACTTGATAAAATAAAGAAAATGGTCAGGAATAAAATTTGCACTTTAGTCAAAATTATTGTTACACATAGTTATTCAATGACTTAACTACTTTAAGGGGTTTTGGGGTTTTGGGGTTTTGGGG